GGGGATGGGATGGGATTGGTGGGATGGAAGAGAATGGAGTGGGATGGGTGGGATGGGGATGGGATGGGATTGGTGGGATGGAAGAGAATGGGGTGGGATGGGAGGAGATGTGGTGGGGTGGGGTGGGGTGGGATGGGGAGGGGTGAGGTGGGATGGGATTGGTGGGGGGGGATAGAAGAGGATGGGGTGGGGTGGGATGGGATGGGATGGGTGGGATCGGGTGGGATGGGGTGGGGTGGGGTGGGGTGGGATGGGATTGGTGGGATGGGACGGAAGAGGATGGGGTGGGATGGAAGGGGATGGGGATGGGATGGGATTGGTGGGATGGAAGAGAATGGGGTGGGATGGGAGGAGATGTGGTGGGGTTGGGTGGGGTGGGATGGGTGGGATGGGGTGGGGTGGGGTGGGATGGGGTTGGTGGGGTGGGATAGAAGAGGATGGGGTGGGGTGGGATGGGAGGAGATGGGGTAGGAGGGGTGGGGTGGGATGGGTGGTATGGGATGGGATGGGGTGGGATGGAAGGGGATGGGGTGGATGGGATGGGTGGGATTGGATGGGTTGGGATGGATTGGGATGGGATGGGATGGAAGAGGATGGGGTGGGGTGGGATGGGGTGGGATGCAATGGGTGGGATGGGATGGAAGGGGATGGGGTGGGGTGGGCTGGGATGGCAGAGATGCTTGGGGACAAGGAAAAGGGGATTGGGGCGATAGTGAGGATGGGATGTAGGGGATATGGGGACCAGAAGGACGGGATGTAGAGGATGTTGGGACAAGGAGGATGGGATGCAGGGAACAAGTGGACACAGAGGGCAGGGGAGCTGGATGTGTGTGCACAGGCACCAGCAGGGAAGCATCGGGGAGGCTGGGCCATGGGTACCACACACACATCCCTCCCTGGCTGGGCGATGGGTACCACACACACATCCCTCCCTGGCTGGGCCATGGGTACCACACACACATCCCTACCTGGCTGGGTGATGGGTACCACACACACATCCATCCCTGGCTGGGCCATGGGTACCACACACACATCCCTCCCTGGCTGGGCGATGGGTACCACACACACATCCATCCCTGGCTGGGCCATGGGTACCACACACACATCCCTCCCTGGCTGGGCGATGGGTACCACACACACATCCCTCCCTGGCTGGGCGATGGGTACCACACACACATCCCTCCCTGGCTGGGCGATGGGTACCACACACACATCCCTCCCTGGCTGGGTGATGGGTACCACACACACATCCCTCCCTGGCTGGGCCATGGGTACCACACACACATCCCTCCCTGGCTGGGCGATGGGTACCACACACACATCCATCCCTGGCTGGGTGATGGGTACCACACACACATCCCTCCCTGGCTGGGCGATGGGTACCACACACACATCCATCCCTGGCTGGGTGATGGGTACCACACACACATCCCTCCCTGGCTGGGTGATGGGTACCACACACACATCCATCCCTGGCTGGGCCATGGGTACCACACACACATCCCTCCCTGGCTGGGCCATGGGTACCACACACACATCCCTCCCTGGCTGGGTGATGGGTACCACACACACATCCATCCCTGGCTGGGTGATGGGTACCACACACACATCCCTCCCTGGCTGGGCCATGGGTACCACACACACATCCATCCCTGGCTGGGCCATGGGTACCACACACACATCCCTCCCTGGCTGGGCGATGGGTACCACACACACATCCCTCCCTGGCTGGGTGATGGGTACCACACACACATCCATCCCTGGCTGGGCCATGGGTACCACACACACATCCCTCCCTGGTGGTACCCACGTCCCCTCCGTCCCATCCCCATCCCAAGGCTGCTTCCTGGATGACAACGGCGTGGAGCTCCCCATCGGACAGATCTGGTCTCCGGGCGATCCCTGTGAGTTATGCATCTGCCAGGTGAATGAGAACCTGCTCTGCTCCACTGCTCCCTTTGGAACGCTGGGCTCCTCATGGCCACGATCCCTGGCATTCCCCTTCCTCTGGAGGTGGGATTGGATTGATCCCTATGGATTTGGGCAGCCTGAGGTCTCGGTCAAGTGCTTCTCCCCTGCAGGCTGATGGCTCCGTGAGCTGCAAGAGGACAGACTGCGTGGAGACGTGTCCCTATCCCATCCGCATCCCTGGGCAGTGCTGCCCCGACTGCTCCGCGGGTGAGGATGCTGATGGGGGCATCCGCTCCATCCATAGGGATACAGGGAGGTGGGAACAGGTCAATGGAGCTCATGCAGGGCCTGGAGTGATGGGGAAGGGCTGATGGACGTGGGGGGGTTCAGATGGAGAAGAGAAGGCTCAAGGGGGGGACCTGATGGCTGCCTCCAACTGCCTGACAGGAGGATGGAGCCAGGGTGCTATGGGTTATGGTGATCTTAGGGTTGAACTCAATGCTCTTAAACCCCTTTCCCAACCCCATTGACTCAATGGGGGCCCCAAACCCATCTCCACCCCTTATCCCCCCCCCAAATCCCCCTTTCCCTCCAGGCTGCACTTACATGGGGAGGATCTTCTACAACAACGAGACCTTCCCCTCCGTCCTGGACCCGTGCCTCAGCTGCATCTGCCTGGTGAGGGATGTGCTGGGTACCACGAGATGCTCTTGGCTCTTCGCCCCATGGCTTCAGCCCAGGTTTCTTCCTCCTTTGCAGGAAAAAGCCTTGGGGAATCCCCCCTTTTCCAACCCCCCCCCCCCCCCCCCATCACCCCATTCCCAGTATGGGCTCTAATCCCCATCTCTCACAGTTGGGATCAGTGGCCTGCTCCCCCATGGACTGTGCCATCTTCTGCACGTACCCCTTCCACCCCGAGGGCGAGTGCTGCCCTGTCTGCAACGGTAGGGACCAAAGGGGACAACCAGGGGGGGTCCTGGCCTTACCTTATGTGTGTGTCCCCCCCATCACCCCCTCTCCATCACTTCCCCCCCCCATAGACTGCAACTACCAAGGTCGGAAGGTGGGGAATGGCCAAAGCTTCACCCCCGAGGGCCAGCCCTGCACCCGCTGTACCTGCCAGGTGAATGGGGGGGGGGGGGACATGGGGGTGATGGTGGCAATGGGGGGGTGATGGAGTTGGGGGGGGGCTGACCCCCAACCTTCCCCTCGGTACCAGCTCGGGGAGGTGAGCTGCGAGCAGAGGCTGTGCCCCCGGTCCTGCGCGGAGCTCGCTGCGCCCTGCCCGGCTCCAGGTGATGCTCGGGGTGATGGGGTTCAAATGGGGACACCCCCCCTACCCCCTTGCCCCCCCTTGTTGCTCTGGGGGTGCACCCATCCAGCCCATGGGGGTCCCCAAGGGGGAGGTGGGTGCTAACACAAAGCATCTCTCCATAGCCACAGACGTCCGGCTCCCGCTGCAGAGCAGTGACCTGGCCCCATCATCCCCATCCCCATCCTTATCCTTATCCCCATCCTTATCCCCATCCCCATCCCCATCCCCATCCCCATCCGCATCCTTATCCCCATCATCCCCATCCCCATCCCCATCCCCATCCGCATCCCCATCCCCATCCCCATCTGCATCCTTATCCCCATCATCCCCATCCCCATCCCCATCTGCATCCTTATCCCCATCATCCCCATCCCCATCCCCATCCGCATCCTTATCCCCATCCCCATCCCCATCCCCATCCCTGACCCCAAGCCATGAGGACACCCCCCCTGCAACCCCAACGCCCCCCCCCTCATCCCGCCCCCTCCGGCCTCGCCTGGCCCAGCTCCTGCTCCCCAACACAGCCCCCCCCCCCGGCCCCTCTTTATGGGGTGCAGGGGCTGGGGACCCCCCCGAGGCCACACTGAGCCCCTCGGGGCACCCATCTCTGCCCCCCAATGCCCCCTCTGAGGCCGGAGCCCCCCCGGCTCCCACAGGCAGCCCCAGAGCTCAGGGACCCCCCAGGGACACGGAGGGCAGAGGGGATGCCCCATAGGGACCAAGTGAGGATGAAGAGGAGGAAGAGGAGGGGAAGGGGTCTGCAGGACCAGCAGGTCTGGCCCACCAGGCCCCTGGGCTGATGGGTGGCAGGGGAGGGGGTGCCAAGCAGATAGGGGTGGGCAATAGCATCCTGGATCCTATGGGTGCATCCCAGGTCCTATAGGTGCATCCCAGCTCTATGGGTGCATCCTGGCTCCAGTGTGGGTACCTCCCATCTCCCATGGGTACATCCTGGCTCCCATAAGTGAATCCCAGCTCTATGGGTGCATCCTGGCTGCAGTGGGTATATCCCATCTCCTATGGAGGCATCCCAGCTCCCATGGGTGCATCCCGGCTCCCATAAGTGCATCCCAGCTTCAAGGGTGTACCCCTGCTCTCACAGGTGCATCCTGGCTCCCATAGGTGCATCCCATGTCCCATGGGTGCATCCTGGCTCCCATAGGTGCATCCCATGTCCCACGGGTACATCCTGGCTCCCATAGGTGCATCCCATGTCCCATGGGTACATCCTGGCTCCCATAGGTGCATCCCAGGTCCCATGGGTGCATCCTGGCTCCCATAAGTGAATCCCAGCTCTATGGGTGCATCCTGGCTGCAGTGGGTATATCCCATCTCCCATGGAGGCATCCCGGCTCCCATGGGTACATCCTGGCTCCCATAAGTGAATCCCAGCTCTATGGGTGCATCCTGGCTGCAGTGGGTATATCCCATCTCCCATGGAGGCATCCCGGCTCCCATGGGTGCATCCCGGCTCCCATAAGTGAATCCCAGCTCTATGGGTGCATCCTGGCTGCAGTGGGTATATCCCATCTCCCATGGGTGCATCCCGCCTCCCATGGGTGCATCCTGGCTCCCATAGGTGCATCCCATGTCCCATGGGTGCATCCTGGCTCCCATAGGTGCATCCCATGTCCCACGGGTACATCCTGGCTCCCATAGGTGCATCCCATGTCCCATGGGTACATCCTGGCTCCCATAGGTGCATCCCAGGTCCCATGGGTGCATCCTGACTCCCATAGGTGCATCCCATGTCCCATGGGTACATCCTGGCTCCCATAGGTGCATCCCAGGTCCCATGGGTGCATCCTGACTCCCATAGGTGCATCCCATGTCCCATGGGTACATCCTGGCTCCCATAGGTGCATCCCATGTCCCATGGGTACATCCTGGCTCCCATAGGTGCATCTCAGGTCCCATGGGTGCATCCTGGCTCCCATAGGTGCATCCCAGGTCCCATGGGTGCATCCTGACTCCCATGGGTGCATCCCATGTCCAATGGGTACATCCCACCTCCCATGGGTGCATGGGCACTGCTTGTCTCTCAGGCAGAGGCTGAGTGGTCCCCATCCACCCTGGGATGCTGGGGTCCCCCAGGAGCATCCCCCCATCTCCCTGGAGCATCCTTAGGGAACCCCAGCCCCAAAGGCTGGATCCTCCCAGCAGGACGGTGCAGGGAAGCCCTGGAGCATCCTTGGGGACCCCCAGCCCCACACCAGCCCCCCAAGTGCCTCATGCACCCCTGGGGTGCTGCTGCTGCCCCAGCTCCTGGCCTGGGGACAGGGGACCTGCCCTCCCTGACACCAATAAAGTCACCCTGGTATTTATGCCCTCTCCCCTTACTCCTGCTTGTACCTACTATAGGGCTGCTCTAGGTGTCAATGGAGGGGGATTTGGGGTGTGCAGCCCCCCCCCAAGTTGGGTTTGGGGACAGGAGGGATGTGTCTTGTCCCAGTGGGGACTTCATTGTGTCCACATAGGACCTTTGCAGGATGCTCCTAAGGGAATGGTGCTGAGGAAGGGTTTTGGGAGCCTTGGCCACGTTTGCATGGTCAAGAGCATCATCAGGGCATCCAGACAGGACCTTTGCAGGATGCTCCTAAGGGAACGGTGCTGAGGAAGGGTTTGGGAGCCTTGGCCACGTTTGCATGGTCAAGAGCATCATCAGGGCATCCACAGAGGACCTTTGTAGGTTGCTCCTAAGGGAAGGGTTTTGGGAGCCTTGGCCACGTTTGCATGGTCAAGAGCATCATCAGGGCATCCACAGAGGACCTTTGTAGGTTGCTCCTAAGGGAAGGGTTTTGGGAGCCTTGGCCACGTTTGCATGGCCAAGAGCATCATCAGAGCATCCACACAGGACCTTTGCAGGTTGCTCCTAAGGGAATGGTGCTAAGGAAGGGGTTTGGGAGCCTTGGCCACGTTTACATGGTCAAGAGCATCATCAGAGCATCCACAGAGGATCTTTGCAGGATGCTCCTAAGGGAAGGGTTTTGGGAGCCTTGGCCACGTTTGTATGGTCAAGAGCATCATCAGAGCATCCAGACAGGACCTTTGCAGGTTGCTCCTAAGGGAATGGTGCTGAGGAAGGGTTTTGGGCGCCTTGGCCACGTTTGCATGGTCAAGAGCATCATCAGGGGGGTGAAGGTGGCACGAACCTGCCCATGGTCCATGCCAAGGGACGTGGTGGCACCTGAGCCCAAAGACACAACCCGAGGGTGCTTCTATACATCTTTATTGGTGGCTATGGCAGGAGGTGGCAGGGAGCTGCCAAGCTGGGGCTGCAGGGCAGTGGGGCAGCACTGCCCTGTCCTTCAGGACAGGCGGGACAGGCCCACCATGTTCTTGGCCCTGCTGAAGATCACGTAGTACTCACGGATGAAGACATCCCCCAGGATCCACATCTCACCGGATTCAGTGGGGACATTCATGCCTTGAAAGCCCAGGCTGCAGACCCCATTGCTCTGCAGGCAAGGCCATGGTTTATGGTGATTCCCAGCTCCTGGATCTCCACCCTAAGCCCTCACAGTCCCCATCCCAGCAGGATGCTCACCTCCGTCACGTAGGCACTGGGTGTCAAAGGGAACTCCATTCCATTGATGTAGAAGACAATGTCAGGCAGGCTGTTCCTGTATTCGCAGTCAATCTGGGGTGGGGGGGACACGGTGGTAAGTGGAGGTGGGGGGTCAGTGGTCACCCCATGGGAGCCCCAAAGCTCTGTGTGCTCCCCTGGCTCTCACCTCGCCATTGGAGGTGGCACCAAGGGCACGGAGGACCACAGTGAGGTACTCATTGGGCATGGCCAGCAGTGAGGTGCCTGTGTCCACAATGGCCTGGCAGCTGTCCTGGCAGAGTTCAGCCCTGCCCATGATGGAGACTCTGGGGACAAAGGGACATAGGGTGAGGTTCCTGGGTGCTGCACCCCCAAACTCAGCATCTGCTGCCCCAGGGCTACCTGTCCATGGTGATCTGCCAGTAGGTCTCAGCAGAGAGGGGGATCCAAGAGATGCCGTTGGTGACATAATAGGGGTCGATGGCACCAAAGAGGACAAAGCTGCCACTCTCCTCATTCCTGTAAAGGGGAAACCCATCAGATGAGGGCCCTATCCCCATCACCATCACCATGGCGATGCCACCAGCAGCATGTCCCTAGGAGGCACAGTGCCAGGGAATGGTCCTGGAGTCAGCACTGGAGGAGATGCTCCCCATGGGTTTGGGTGGCTCTGGCCAGGACTCACTTGCTCAGGTAGACAGAGAAGAGGTCCCTGGCCACAAGCCCTTCGTTCATCATGTTGTCAAAGACAGGGGTGGCTCCAGAAGAGGCGAGGCTGGGGAAAGCCAGCCCCAGGATGCCATCGAAGGGGCTGTAGTAGAAGAAGTCCCCAGGCTCGGTCTCAGAGAGCCCAAAGATCTGGTTGTAGACCTCGATATCTGCAACCTGGGTAAAGAACCAGGGAGAAAGGCTTGGGTTGGGTGTCCTCAATGCCATGGGATGAAGGAGCTGGGGCACGGGGCCTTACATTGACGGTGTCATAGCCCAGGACACCGGACAGGCTACCAGTGCCATAGGCAATGTAGACGCTCTCGTTGGTGCTGATGAAGGTGGAGGATTTTGCTGGGTTGAAACGGTTGTGGTTGCCTGTGGGGATGGAGGGAGATGGTCATGGCCCAGCCTCACCCCAAGGGCTTGGGGTGCATCCCCAGCGCCTCCCCATGGCCCTGAATCCCTTGGGAAAGACAAGGCAGAGCCATCCTGATCCCTCCCAGTGGATCCTGGGGCTCCTCCCCTTGCCCAGTGGCCCCAGGGCTAGCGGACACCTACTGCAGGACAGGCTGGTGCAGTACACCGAGGGCACCCACAGGTTGGAGGAGCCGGTGTCGAAGATGACGGTGAAGTCCTGGGGTGGGGTCCCGATGGAGATGGTGCCATAGTAGGAGTTCTGCCAAAGGAGGGTGGGTGGGGGGTTAGTGGGATGGAGAAGGGGCTACTGGGATGCAAAAGGGGCTAGTGGGATGAGCGCAGCTGGGAAAGGATTAGGGTAAGGCACTAACATCAGGTGAAAGGCTAGAGGGTCAGGTATGGGGCGAGTGGTTCAGGTGAGGGGCTAGTGGGATGACTTAATGGGTTAGGGGAATTGGTAAAGGATGAGAGGGACAGGTAAGGAACCAGTGTATCAAGTAAGAGGTTAGTGGGTCAGGGAAGTGGCCAGTGGGTGAGGTAAGGGGCTAGAGGGATGGGTAATGGGTTAGGGGAATGGTTAAAGGGCTAGTGGGATGGGTAATGGGTTAGGGGAATGGGTAAGGGGCTAGTGGGATGGGGAATGGGCCAGTGGGATAAGTTAACAGGTTAGGGGAATGGGTAAAGGGTTAGAGGGAAAGGTAAGGAACTACTGGGATGGGTAAAGGGCTAGTGGGGTGGGGAATGGGTTAGGGGCTAGTGGGTCAGGTAAGGAGCTAGAGGGATGGGAAGAGGGCAGTGGGATGGGAAGGGGGCAGTAGGATTTGAAGGGGGCAGTGGGACGGGAAGGGGGCAGTGGGATGGGAATGGGGCAGTGGGATGGGAGGGGCAGTGGGATGTGAAGCAGTGGGATGGGAAGGGGGCAGTGGGATGCAAAGGGGGCAGTGCGATGCGAAGCAGTGGGATGGGAATGGGGCAGTGGGATGGGAATGGGGCAGTGGGATGGGAAGGGGGCAGTGGGATGGGAATGGGGCAGTGGGATGCGAAGGGGGCAGTGGGATGCGAAGGGGGCAGTGGGATGCGAAGGGGGCAGTGGGATGGGAATGGGGCAGTGGGACAGGAATGGGGCAGTGGGATGCGAAGGGGGCAGTGGAATGCGAAGGGGGCAGTGGGATGGGGAAGGGGGCAGTGGGATGCGAAGCAGTGGGATGGGAATGGGGCAGTGGGATGCGAAGGGGTCAGTGGGATGCGAAGGGGGCAGTGGGATGCGAAGGGGGCAGTGGGATGGGAAGGGGGCAGTGGGATGGGAAGGGGGCAGTGGGATGCGAACGGGGCAGTGGGACAGGAATGGGGCAGTGGGATGCGAAGGGGGCAGTGGGATGGGAAGGGGGCAATGGGATGGGAAGGGGGCAGAGGGATGCGAAGCAGTGGGATGGGAATGGGGCAGTGGGATGCGAAGGGGGCAGTGGGATGGGAAGGGGGCAGTGGGATGCGAAGGGGGCAGTGGGAGGGGAAGGGGCAGTGGGATGGGAAGGGGGCAGTGGGATGAAAGCAGTGGGATGCAAAGGGGGCAGTGGGATGCAAAGCAGTGGGATGGGAATGGGGCAGTGGGATGCGAAGCAGTGGGATGGGGAATGGGGCAGTGGGATGGGAATGGGGCAGTGGGATGCGAAGCAGTGGGATGGGAATGGGGCAGTGGGATGGGAATGGGGCAGTGGGATGCGAAGCAGTGGGATGGGAATGGGGCAGTGGGATGGGAATGGGGCAGTGGGATGGGAAGGGGGGCAGTGGGATGCAAAGGGGGCAGTGGGATGCGAAGCAGTGGGATGGGAATGGGGCAGTGGGATGCAAAGGGGGCAGTGGGATGCGAAGCAGTGGGATGGGAAGGGGGCAGTGGGATGCGAAGGGGGCAGTGGGATGCGAAGGGGGCAGTGGGATGCGAAGCAGTGGGATGGGAATGGGGCAGTGGGATGCAAAGGGGGCAGTGGGATGCGAAGCAGTGGGATGGGAAGGGGGCAGTGGGATGCGAAGCAGTGGGATGGGAAGGGGGCAGTGGGATGCAAAGGGGGCAGTGGGATGCGAGGAGGGCAGTGGGATGCGAAGCAGTGGGATGGGAATGGGGCAGTGGGATGCAAAGGGGGCAGTGGGATGCGAAGCAGTGGGATGGGAATGGGGCAGTGGGATGCAAAGGGGGCAGTGGGATGCGAAGCAGTGGGATGGGAAGGGGGCAGTGGGGTGGGAATGGGGCAGTGGGATGGGAATGGGGCAGCCCTCTCCCTGCCATGCTCACATCCATGTAGTTCTGCATAGGCTCCGAAGAGACCCCAGTACTGAAGTACTTGGCAGCCGGGTCATAGGGGTGCTTCTTGAGGTAGCGCTCCAGCAAACCCCGCTCCTGCAGGGACTGCCGCAGGGACTTCCCCTTCCTCAGAGGGATCCTGGGACACAGGAGAGGGATCCAGCACCAGGAACCAGGCAGGGATGTGCTCAAGGGGCTGCGGGTCCCCCCCCATCATGTGGGACCCAGCCATCACCTCACTGTGGGGAGCCTTGGCCATGGAATGGCTTGGGGGGGGTGCAGGTTGTCCCCACATCACCCCATGTGCTACCCCAAGCATGGGTTCTGGGGGGTCCTCAGCACCCTAAACCCACCCTATGCTTACCTGTGGACGAGGCATTGAGCCAGGGCCACCAAGCTGAAGAGCAGGAGGAGCTTCATGGTGGTTCTAGCAGCTGAGGTGCAGACACAGCGAGGGTGTCCCAGGTAGGTTCCTTATATCCCAAGCACGTTGTTTGGGCAGTGCTCGTGATAAGGAAGGCAAACAGCCCCGTGGGGCACTTATCACAACGTCCTTAATGGAGGCACTGGGGCAATGTCAAGCTGAGGGCTCCCCATCTTCACCCCAGTCCAATGCTGGGGCATGGGGATGCTTGTGGAAGGCTGGAGGTGGGAGAGCGGCATCCTCAGGTGTCCCAACAGCAAGGCACTGCTGGTTCTTCATCCATCCCATGGCTGCCTGGGGAAGTGGGATGGGGAAAGTCAAACTGGGACCTCAGAGGGGAAAACCCAGCTCAGGATGCTGCTGGTTGAGCAATGCCAAGGTCACTGGTGCTGGACCAGGCTCCTTGGCTTCCATCACAGCACCACGTGGTGGCAAGGTCACCTTGGCCTGCAGGAAAACAAAGGCAGACCATAGGCACCATATGGGCTGGAGCTGGCTTTCATCCCTCAGCACCAGCTTCACCCCAGCTCTGGGTAACGCAGAATTGAGGGGAGATGTTGAACTGCACCAAGGAAATGAGATCATAGAATCATAGGACAGTTAGGGTTGGAAAGGGCCTTAAGATCATCCAGTTCCAACCCCCTGCCATGGGCAGGGACACCTCACACTAAACCATGGCACCCAAGGCTCTGTCCTTGAACACCACCAGGGATGGAGCATTCACAACCTCCCTGGGCAACCCATTCCAGTGCCTCACCACCCTCACAGGAAAGAATTTCCTCCTTAGATCCAATCTAAACTTCCCCTGTTTCAGTTTGAACCCATCACCCCTTGTCCTGTCACTACAGTCCCTAATGAAGAGTCCATCCCCAGCATCCCTATAGGCTCCCTTCAGACACTGGAAGCTGCTCTGAGGTCTCCACGCAGCTTCTCTTCTCCAGGCTGAACAGCCCCAACTTTCTCAGCCTGTCTCCATACAGGAGCTGCTCCAGCCCCTGATCCCCCTGATCCGTGTGCTTACACATGGAAAACACAAGAGAGGTGGAGGTCCTGGTGATGCCAAGGTGGATTCTCCTCTATTAGTGGGAAAGGTGTGAGCTGGGATGTTCATCCAGAGCTCATGGTGGGGTGATGGAGGGATGAGCTACCTCAAAGGGCTACTCCTGCACTGGGGCTCATCCTGCATTCACTGTGGTAATGAGCAGAGGAATGGGAAGGTCAAGTGCTAAATTCTTTGGGATGGATCCTCTCCTTGTATTTAGCGAAGAAACTGGAAGAGCCTCGTGTTTTAGGGCTGTATAACCTGGTTTGTAATGGCACGGAACACAACTTGCTTCATTCTCCACCCTGGCAGCGATGGGTTTGGACTGGATCCATCACAGCAGCTTAAAACCAGTTCCATTTATCT